ACGGTACGGGGACCAGTCTCGTACCAGTTCTTTGCTGCTGTACTTGTACTCAGTGTGACTTGCCGTTTCGGCATTGGGAATCCAAGACTTCGACTTTGTGCCTTGCCACTGTGTCTGCGTCCAACCCTCAGTCCGAGTCCGTCGTGTCGAGTGAGTGAGTGTGTGTGTGCGCTCTCACTCTCTCCCTCTCTCTCTCCTCTCCCTCGGCTCACCCTCAGCCTCACTCCCGTTACATCACAGACCTGATGGACTATTCAGAGTACGACGGCGAGGAGACAGCTGAGGGTAGCACCCTCGCCGCAGTAGTAAAGGCTAAGGCAGGTGGCCGAGTGAAGGGCCAACCAAAGAGTCAAGGGAAGGCCATCTCCAATCAAACCAACGAGGCTGATTGGGTGAAGGCAGGTCTTGATCAAGAAGTGTGGCGGGACCACCGAGTGCGTGGTGCTTGTATCAACTGTGGTGAATACGGACACACCCAGTACAAGTGCCAGAACGCTAAGGTCACGCAGAAGATACCTCCTAAGATGGGGGCACCTTCTTCCCAGGCTTCTAGCTCGGGAAACCAATGAGGCCGGTGGAAGTTTTAGCTGCTTCTACTCAGGGTGAAGTGGGCATGATACCCTCCCCACTTCATGAGCAGGCCATAGCTAATGACTCTTTAGTCACCCCGCAGACTCATCCAGACCAAACTATGCTATGTACGTTGGATGTGTCTGAAGCCTTAGAAGATCTAGAAAGCGAGTGGTMAAACAAGGACCCTCGCGAGTCTTGGGTGGCGCTAAGGAAAGGTCCTAGAGGGGAACATTTTGTGGTGGAAGGCGATGTAGGAGGCCGCAAATGTGGTGCCTTCAAACACATAGGTTCCACGTGGAATTACATAAGTCGCGACTGTTTGGAAAGGCTGCACCTACAGGACCGGGTACGGCACGTTAGTAGACCTGTAGCATCTACTTTGGCCAACAAGGACCGCATGATAGTCACAGACTATATCAAGGACGTAGTTTGTACTTTCTCCTATGGAGGAGGGGAACTTTATCATAAGATTTCGTTCCTGGTTAGCGACGACTTACCATTTGACATGTTGTTAGGAATGTACTACCTTGAGGTTGCCAAGCCCCAGTTTGACTAGGATAAGAAGGTGATGAAGCATAAGTTGCTTGATGGAAGAATAGTGAGGCTGACTAAGTTCAAAGCCAGTAGTATAATCGATACCTATTGCTGCTTGTGTGCATCAGCGTTCTACAACTACTATAAACAGAACCAAGAGGAGGGTATGTACCTAGTGTATGTCTCTGAGAAAGGGGAGGCCGTTAAAACACCCTCAGAGATGGAACACATCGTTGCTAAGTTCCCTGATCTGTTTGTACCTTCTCCTATGGAGGAGGAGAACTTAATCATAAGATTTCGTTCTTGGTTAGCGACGACTTACCATTCGACATGTTGTTAGGCATGTACTACCTTGAGGTTGCTAAGCCCCAGTTCGACTGGGATAAGAAGGTGCTAAAGCATAAGTTGCCCGATGGCAGGACCATCAGATTGACTGAGTTCAAAACCAGTAGCATTACAGATACCTATGGCTGCTTGTGTGCATCAGCGTTCGACAACTATTATAAGCAGAACCAAGAGGAAGGTATGTACCTAGTGTATGTCTCTGAGAAAGGGGAGGCCGTTAAAACACCCCCAGAGATAGAACGTGTCGTTGCTAAGTTCCCTGATCTGTTCGAAGAGCCCACAGGGGTCGTAGAAAGGGAAGTTGTCCATGCTATAGAAAGCATCCCAGGGAGTAAAACCCCTAAGGGGAGGATCTATAGGATAGCTCCCGCCGAGTTAGATGAACTCCAGCGACAACTGAAGGAGCTGACAGAGAAGGGATGGATCCGGCCTAGTACTTCCCCTTACGGATCGCCAGTACTATTTGTACCAAAGAAGGGGGGTACATTCAGGATGTGTATTGACTATAGAGGCCTCAATGCCATCACCGTGAAGAAGGCAGAGCCTCTACCTCGCATAGACGACCTATTGGATAGAGTGCAGGGATGCAAGTACTATAGCAAGATAGACTTGAAATCCGACTATCATCAGATCGCTATAAGACCCGAGGACCAACACAAGACAACTTTTCAGAATCGATATGGTCTGTATGAGTTTGTAGTGATGCCCTTTGGTCTTTGCAATGCGCCGGGAACATTCCAGCACGCTATGAATCGGATCTTCCATGACCACTTAGATAAGTTTGTCATGGTTTACCTTGACAACATTCTGATCTTTAGTAAGTCTGTCGAGGAGCATGCACAACACGTTGAGACTGTACTTTCACTCCTGCGACAGCACAAGTATAAGGTCAACCTAGAGAAGTGTGAGTTTGGTCGCACTAAGATACTATGCTTGGGTCATGAAGTATCCGCGGAAGGGATTAGGCCGGAAGATGCGAAGGTGGCTAGTATTCGAGACTGGCCACGACCTCAAATAGTCACTGAGGTCAGAACTTTCTTAGGAATGTGCGGCTACTATGGGAACTTCGTAAAGAACTATTCTACAGTCGCCTCTCCTTTGACAGATCTAACTCGACTTGACACGCCGTGGRACTGGAGTGATGAGTGCGAGGGTGCTTTCAAGCGATTGAAGCATGCACTCATGAATCATGAAGTTCTCATGGTTCCCGATCCTCAGAAACCATTCATAGTGACCACTGGCGCAAGCCAATACGGCATTGGCGCAGTGCTGGCTCAGCACGATGGGAAGAAGTTGAGACCGATTGAGTACATGAGCAAGAAAATGCCATCGAAGAAATTGGCAAAGTCCATCTACGAAAGGGAACTCTATGCTCTCTAGAAGGCACTTGTCCATTGGAGACACTTCCTATTGGGAAGGTTCTTCTACTTGAGGACTGATCATCAGACCCTCAAATGGTCAAGACTCAACCGACTCTTTCTGACGCACTCAAGCGATGGATTGAAGTCATAGACCAATATGACTTCAAGCTTGAGTATTTGAAGGGAGAGTACAACAAGGTTGCAGACGCGCTATCACGTAGGGCAGACTACCTAGGTGCGCTAGTTTCTGACTTTGGTGATATGAAGAAGTAACTCAATCATTGGTGTGGGAGCCTATCAGGAAGACCCTGTCATGATGGACATCATGCGCAAACTTCAGGCAAAAGACAAGGCCACGGAAAGTGAGTTTGTGATGGTGGACGGGCTACTCTATCTTGATAAGGCCGGTGTTAAAAGCCTAGTAGTTCCATCTAGTGAACGTTTGTGTAGTTTGTTTTTAGGAGAATGCTATGACGCAACCGGGCACTTTGGTTACAAAAGGACGAGTGCTAATCTAGTACAACGATTTTGGTGGCCCGGAATGATAGATGATGCGAAGAAGTATGTGCCCATGGACTCAAGCCGCGAACTCAAGCACCGCTTGGGTTGCTAAAGCCCTTACCTATCCACGCTGGTCCTGGACAGAGTGTGTCCATGGATTTCATGGATATCCTGGTGACCAGCAAGAGTGGCAAGAGGCACATCTTCGTCATCATTGATCGATTCACCAAGTACGCTAGACTAGTTGCCATGCCAGAGACCGCAAGGATGGACTATGTCATCAAGTTGTTCCAAGACAACTGGGTACGTGACTTCGGTTTACCAAAGACAATCGTTAGTCACAGAGATATCCGTTTCACAAGTGAGTTGTGGAAGACGACTGCTAAGCAGATGGGCAGTCAACTTAAGATGACTTCCGTGAATCATCCCGAAGCCAACGGACAGGCCGGGCAAATGAATAGAGTAGTACAACACTTGTTGAGGCATTACATCAAGCCCAGCCAGGATGATTGGGATGAGAAGTTGCCTCTCATCGCCAGCCTGTACAACAACGCTGTACACAGCAGTACCGGCGTTAGTCCTAACCAGTTGCACTTGGGATGGAAGCCTAAATCTGCTCTAGACTTCCTCCTACCTGAAAACTGATCGTCTGCAACTCCAGGCACACTTGAGTATGGTGTGCGATATGAGAAGTTGCTGCAGCAAGTTGTCGAGCATATTAAGAAAGCTTAGCAAGCAATGATTGCTTCTGAGAAAAAGCATCGGCTACAGTCCTCATTTCAGGTAGGGGAACATGTCTGGGTCAAGGCTAGTGAGCTAGGGCAGGAATGTGAGGATTGAGCCCTCAAGAAGCCTCGTGCCCGCCCTAAGTGAAAGCGGGCCAGCAAATCAACAAGAGCCCTCTGTACAAACATTTCACGAAGTGGGGTTCATACAGTTGCAGCACGCCAGTTGGTTGGAGTGCGCCGAGTCTCGAATCTCTGCAAATGTGGAGATCCCAGGGCCTCTGAGTTAGTTAGGCCCTGGGCACTTGAACGTGAGGCCGACAATGCATGCTGGGTATAGAGGCCGAAAATGCCAAAGGGAAATCGGCCCACTATCTGAATCTGACCGCAGGCCTTGACGAAAGAGGTGCAACTGCATCACCCGGGCCCCAACTGCATCGGGCCTGGGTTCAGGCACTGGGGCCCAGTCGCAGGTTGAAAGGAGGCCGCCCACACGCAACACTGGCATATAGGCAAGCAGGGCGAGTGGGCAGGGATCTTGGCCAGTGCGGGCATTGCCGGCATGCTGCGTGAACGCGAGCTGCTGGGCTGCGCTAAGGCTGAGGGAACAGGCTAGCGCTAAAGCGGTAGGGCGCTGCCTGTGTGCGCATGGCGCTGGCGGCCATAGCCGGGCTGCCTGAGGGCGCAGGGGAGGTGAGGGCGAAGGTGGTTCTTCGAAGGTGAAGGGCGTTGTGTGGGATAACAAGGGAGAGTGTGGGTGAAGGAGGACACGTACATGGTGGAGGTGGAGGTCGGCATTGGTGTTGACATCATCACTCGCTGGTCGTCAAGTTGTCTGGTTGCTTTCATTGCTGTAGTTGTAGGCTTAGGCTGTAGAGTAGATAGGGCGCCTGGCGCCATTCAGGAGAGAGAGCTACATTGGGTTATGCCTGTTGGTGTTGCCCTGTTGGGCTTGGACATTGACTCACGATTCTTCTGTATCGTTCTCAAATGGATGGTTACTCGGTTCCATTGTGCTATC